TATATAATTCCAATTCCAATCCAAAAAAAATGGAAAAATTCGGAAATCGGAATTTCGGAAATCGGAATGAAAAAAGTTGTTCCAAAATCGGAACTTTTCGGATTGGAACCGGCGGAAATTAGAATTTCCGTTCCAACTTGCACCCCTAATTGTAGATATAGTCGTCAAAGGATTATTTTTCGTACTAATTGATTATTGTGTTTTTAGATTTAACTCCATAAGACCATAACAATATATTATTTAATTATTATTGTTATTATTTTATCTCCTATTTTCTCTAAGAAAACTTGCTTCATTTATTTAATGTAATAAATGATCAATTTCATATTATGACAATTAAGTTTTTATAGTTTTTTTAATAAGTTTGTAATATTAAATTTGTATAAATGTTAATGTTGTTACGATATCACTAATAAATTTTATTATAATTGTTATTATCGTGTATTAAAAACTAATCATTTATTTTCATTTGAAATGATATCTCGTGCGATAAATGCTAGTTACATATAAATACTCAAGTCACCATTAAATTATATTGTGATAGCTATTTGATCATTTTACAAATTATCACATCAAACTCACGATTAATTACATAAAAAAATTCATGAACATCTAAACGGAAAAAAAAAATACTCAGATTAGTTCAACTAATTCCGCAAACATAAATTTGTGCATATATACCCTCATGTATATTATATTGAATTACTACAAAAAATATCGGAGAAATGACTACAAAAATATCGAAGAATTTAAGATCATTTAAAATGTTAGTGCATGACCAAATTAATTATACATAATGACCAAATTAACATGTACACGTGTGATAACGAGTTTGAAAGACCACGCATATTAAAAATATGGAGATACAAAGCAGTTCAAAGTCCAAACAATAAGGCTTCACTTGTATATGTAGGTAGACATGGTTTCGTACCCGTTTTGCGCAAGTCAAGAACCGGCGATCTGGGTTAGTAGGCGTCCAATAAGTTTGTAAGGCGAGTTGTAAACCGCAATCACAAAATTGTTGATGCTGGCCATATGAATAGAATCCACCATACCCGTTGCTGATCGTACTCCTGTGCGAAATATTGCTACCGACGCTCATACAGGAAAACAATTGTAAAACCAGATACAATAGTCGGGATTTTTTCTTTAATTATCGAAGGAAAAACTTAGGATTTAGGAGCGAAATGGGCTGAAAAATGAAAGAGGCGTATGGCTGGTAAATATTGTATTTCAGGGGCATTACAGTCATTTTGCAAATAATCCCACATTAAACTGGTTTATCAGCTATACAAAACACGGTGTTGTTCATCATGGGATTATTAGTTTCAGCCTAATACAACCAACCAAAAGACATACCCAGTATTGTGAATCAACAGTTTAATCCCAATACTACATATCCCATCTATACCTATCTATCCAACCCACCCAACCAAAAGGGCCCTTAGTATATTAGGATTTACATTGGTATTAGCATTAGCATATAAGTATTAGTATTAGTATTAGTATTAGTATTAGTATTAGTATTAGTATTAGTATTAGTATTAGGGTTACTTAGCATTATAATTAAGATTATAATTATCATTAGCATTAGCATATTATAATTAATAGTAGTGTGAATATTAGTATTAGGATTAGCATTAATTATGATTAGAATTAGTATTAGTATTAGCATTATGATTAGATGTATAATTTACATTACCATTAGTATTAGTATCCATAATATAAAGATTACTGTTAGTATTAGCATATTTGCATTTCTATAAGGATTAGAATTATGATTCCTATTATTATTAGGATTAAGATTAGTATTAATATTTGGATTACAATTTGGATTAGAACTATAATTGGGATTAGTATTAGGATTAACATTAAAGTTAATGTCAGCATTAAGATTAGCAATAGCATTATGATTTAGGTTAGCATTAGGATTAATAATAGTAATAGTATTATTATCAAATTAGTATTAGTATTAACATTAGTAATGGCAATGATTAGTATTGCTATCGGTATTGCTATTAGTATAGGCAATGGTAATGGTAATGGTAATGACAATGGAAATGGTAATGGTAATGTTATTGGTATCGGTGACGGTAATAGTAATGGTAATGGTAATGGTAATGGTAATGGTAATGATAAAGGTAATGGTAATGGTAATGGTAATGGTAATGGTAATGGTAATGGTAATGGTTATGGTAATGGTCATGGTCATGGTATTGGTATTGGTTTATGGTATGGTAATAGTAACGGTAATGGTATTAGCATTTGTACTGGTATTGGCACCGGTATTGGTATTGATATTGATATTCGCATTTATGTTGGTATTGATATTCATTATTTACACTGTGTTGATTTTTTTTTTAATTTTTTTACTTTTCTACTACTTTGTAATGCATATCATTAATTTTACTATTCTGATAACTTTTTTAAAATCAAATATGTACTTTTACGATAAATAACCCGTGCAACGCACGGGTGAAGTACTAGTTATATTTGGATTAACACCCCATTAAGGGTATAAATGGTATTAAATAAAAATTAAAAAAAAAAAAAAAAAATTGATTCTGGCCATTTAGCATTGTCCTTAATATATATAGTATTTTCCTTTTGTATGAGAATTTTTATGAATTATCCTTACTATGCCAATTTAGTTTATAATTTATAATTGATATTTTTCTTTTAGAATTCAAATGTAAAATTAATTCAAAGTTTAGAATTTACACAGGGAGAGATAACAGAAAGTCGGAAATGCTACTTCGAGAGAAGTTGATTAATACGAGATCTATTAACTAAATTTACAGAGCTGACACCATCAGATAGATAAATGATTTGCTTCTTTAAAATTTTATTAACGGATATACGTGGGTTTTCTTATCGTTTAACACATTCTTTATATTCCGGCTCGTGTCAAGGTTTTTTTCTTTTTTTGCTCAAGAATCATAGTAAATGCATGTAATAAATTCCCATATATAATATATATGCGCCATAGTGATATCATCTTAAATTATGAGCAATGACGGGACAACTTCGATCGAGTCCACGCCGGCTTAGCAAGAAACTAGTATTAATTGATCGGAGATAAGTGAATTTAGCACTAATATGATCTTATAAAATAGTTTGGACATGTAGGAGTTAGAATTAAGGGTGAAGATTATAAAAAAGTTTTCGAATTCCATCGGTTACAATCTTAAGATTTCCAATCTTGTAATGAATTATTTAGGGTTAATATGGCACCTCACTCCCAAACTATAGTGTGCTTTTGCACGTTACCTCCTGAACAATTTTTTTTTCAAAATTTTACCTGAACTAGTTAAATTAACTAAGCTTAAGCTATTAGAGAAATGTATCACTTGCCCCCCTAGAAATTTTAGAAATTTGCACCTTCCCCCCTAAAAATTAAAAAAAGAGACATCCTCCATTGTAAAGTATATTTTTGTTGCACTTTTTGTCGTCACATTGTATATGCATAAACATGCTTATACAACTACCAATACCCAGAAATACAATTCGACTTGCTTATACATAATTCAAAAGATTTAGGACCAAATTGCAATTTTAAGAAATTATGCTCTGTATCTAGTTTATCCAGCGAGGTTTAAGCTTTAGATGAATTTAAGGTTGAAAAGATTGGAAGTGCATTTAATTATTTGAAAGGATTAGCTTAGCCATAATTAGTTTCTTGAAAAATTAACTGAATTAGAGACCACAAGGCTTTAATAAATAAAGATCATTACATCGCTTAGAAAAATAAATTCTTAAAATTAAAACGTCCAGGATTATTTCAAACATATATAGTAGAACAAAGTCTACAAACCCTAATGTAAGTACACTCCATATATGGATTCAACAAAACGAAAAGTCGAATATTTCTAAAAGGGACAAAAAAGGAAAAACCGACCCGATTAATAACAAGAGCATTAACATTCATATGAACTAGTCCGTCCCGTTGCTATATTTTGTTTTCCTATCATTAGTTTTTTATCCTAAGACCCAATTTGAGGTGTTAGAAATATTCGAAAAATATTAGAATGTTTCTAGCACCTCAAATTCAGTCTTTGATGATAGGAAAACAAAAGGTAGCAACGAAACAAAACTAAATCATATTCATACGAATGTAGATCCGCATTAAGAACCATTAACCAATCTCATATATATATTTCCATAGCTGGAGGCTCAAGAATTCCGTCTTCATTTTTACCATTTTGCCACATACCAACGAGGGAGATCAATGTCGATTATGAGGTGGATTGACGGGGAAGAAACCTGTTGTTCGCAAAAGCGTGGGAGAAATATGAAGAAAGGTTGATTCCTCTTTGTGGAATTCGGCTCGGCATTTTGGACTCGCTTGGTAGCTTCTATGGGGGCGTCCGAATTATTTCCAAGCAAGTTGGAGAATATTATCGTAATTTCTTCCCTCTAGCCCTGCTTTGTTCTGTTGGTGAATAATTAAGCACTAGACGATAGACGGAGCAATGCCAGCTACCTTCTTTACCACACTAGAACATGAGAATGATCGCAGTTTCATAAATAATTTCATAGCAGCCATAATTCGAGGGGTGGTGAAACAATTGATTTGAAGCATTGAACGCCCATATAGAATGACGAAAAACATCTATAAACACACGAAACACCTTTTTGATGCTCTCTTAAAAAGTAACTGATTGAACTTTCGAGAAAATCATCAGAGCATTTCTTGAATTCATGGTTGCATTCGTACTAAATGAGTCTCAATTAGGGTTCGGCTTAGTTCAAAATGAGCAACAAGTTGTCACGGTCTACAAAAAGAAGAAAAAAAAATCCATGTCAGTTAAGAATTTTATGTATTCCCAAGAAAGTCAAATCCTTGAGAAGTCAAGTTCATAAACCGAATGGAAATAAAATGATAATATAAATTAAACCGGTAAATAATAGCACGGAAAAACGATGTGATGTGCCACAACTAACCTCAAATCTTCCACGTCAAACTTTAACGTTTAAGTTATCTTTAAGACCTGAGAAGCTGCCTAAATGTGGCCCTGAAGGAAGATAATTGCACAAATGACGATTCGCCAATTATTATCAACCTTTTCCACCCCTCCAAAACTATGAATGACTCCACTAATGAAAGAGTCCTGGAATTCACCGGTTGATCAACAACAACAAAAAACACGAGAGTGATCATCGGTTCATAAACTTTGTACATAATGAACTATTTTTTTTGTTAAAAAATATAATGAAACAATTGATGCAATAAAAAAAATTTAACTTTGTGAGAAATTTGGTATAAGAAAATTTGATTTTACCGTTTCCGCTGACAAGAATATTGTTCAATATATATGCTTCTCCTCCATCTATTTGCCAAAAACCAAAAAAGAAAAGAAAAGAGAGGTCGTAAACTTCGTCCATAAATAAATCATATATATAAATTATATGGAAGAAGTAAATTCAATCCAATGAACTTCTGCATGCAAGCAAACTAATCGAGAAATGATGACGGATAACATATTAATACGAGATCCAAATATGAATGTTGTTATACAGATCTAATACATCTTAATTAAATCCATATATGATATATATCATTAATGGGTCTAAGAATTTCAAATCTCTATCAACGGGCCAAAATCGGGTGAAAAATATTAAAAAATAGATTAGTTTAATAGATGTTAATTCATCACCACAAATCAAACATGACGCACAGAAAAAACATTTTATCAAGAGATATATCAACTATCAAGAACAGAAATAAATTAAATCAAGAAAAAGAAGACGGGAAAGAGAAACTATATATATATATATATATATATATATATATATATATATATATATATATATATATATGATGGGAAGAGCAGACCTTGGCGGCGGAGGTTCAGGAGGCGGCCTTAGGCGGTGGTGGAGATCTTCAGGTGAAAGTCTGTAATCCGACACTGACACATACATTATTTTTGTGTCGGAAATTCAGACACAGAGAAAAACGGCGCAGAGAAAAACCTAGGAATTTCGGATATATACAGAAGAGATTTTATCGGCCCTTTTTATAGAGTTGGAATGAAGTCAAAACCTAGGAAAAAGAAAGTGTAAGCTATTTTTAGGGCATCTGAAGACAAGCCCACTGGGCTTTAGATTTTCGTTTTCTATAAATGTTTATTAAAATAAATTTAGTATTTTTCATTTGTATGAGAATTTTTATGAATTATCCTTAGTATGCAAATAAAATTTATAATTTATAATTGATTTCTTTTTTTTTGTAAATCCAAATGTAAAATTAATTTAAAGTTTAGAATTTATAGAGGGAGAGGTAACATAAAGAAGGAAATGATACTTCGAGAGAAGACGATTATATGAGATCTATCAACTAAATTTACACAGCGGTCACCGTCAGATACATATATGATGTGCTTCGTTAAAATTTTAGTGAGGTTTATACATGGGGCTACAAGAAAATCTGCATGGCAAACTCGGAGCGAGAGAATCTACGTCTATACGTAAGGTTTTCTTGTTGTTTAGAACACTCTTTATTGCTACTATATCTTAATTATCTTAGTTTGATAAGCAAAGACGCGACAACTTCGATCGAGTCCACGTCGGCTTAGCAAGAAACTAATATTAATTGATTGGAGATGAGCGAATTTAGCGCTAATATTCCAAATCGTATATAAATATAGTTTGGACATGTAGATTATAAAGAAATTTTCAAATTCCACTGGTTACGATCTTAAAATTTCCAATCTTGTAATGACTTCTTAGGCCGGTTAAAAGAAAATGGCACTTTCCCCCCAAACTATCGTGTGTTTTACACGTTACCCTCTGAACAATTTTTGTAGGGCTAAATGCACGTCACCCCCTATAAATATCTAATTTTCGCACTTTATCCCCTCAAAATTTGGAAATGTGTTGTGAATATTTTAGAAAATACAATTTTATATTAAACAATTAAGAACATGCAATATATATAAATAAAATAATCATATAGGAATAGAAAATAGATTAAAGTAAAAGTAATAGAACGGCGGGCCTGAATAGGAGTCGTGCCACTAGACACTGTCCTAAGAGAATGATTGCCTCCCTTCGTGCAGGTATTGACGGCTGATCATACTCCCAAGATAAAACCCAATGGCCTCGCCGGTGCTTCGTCTATGAGCAACGATCATAGGAAGCTAAAGAACGAACCTTATCTAAGTGCCCAAGGTTTATAGGAAAATATAGAAGATGATGCATGCTTTGTATGAGTGTGTATGTGTAGTGTTATATGCTATGATGTATTCTAGCAAGTAAGCTAATGACCCTATTTATAGGGTGGTTGTGACCTTAAGGGTCAAAGAGAGTTTAATGGTGCATAATGGCCATTGAATGGGACGTTACAAAATATAATTAAAATAATAAAAGCAATTTTAAGTTTTAAAACTTCTCAAATTTCCAACAATCCCCCACAAGGTTTAAAACTTAAAATGTATACGCATGTATACTTATATATAAAATAGGGCACTAATATTGTGTAATGGGTGTAGGAGCCTTCCGAGCTTGAGCCTACACTTAGTGTTGATGATTTCCATTTGAGGGAGCGGTAATGGCGCAAGCGCTTTGAATTACGTCCCTTCACCAAACTTCAATGACAAAATATCGATATCGGTTCAGTTCAAGCGGGTTAGCGCGTTATCGGCCATGCGCTCTTATCTTGATTCTCATGAAAGTTTCTAGGGTTAGCCCAAACCCATAGCCACGGCCTCATGGCAACTTTTCACTTAGGTGAAACCTCCAAGGGTACGTATGACCTCCACCCTACGGTATTCCCGCTTTGGTTTCATTAAGGGTTAAACCCATCATTTTCGTCACACTATAAAGCACTATCACCATAGGGATGGGAATGAGATGCTCTCCTCATAATTTTAATTTAGTGCTTAATGAGTCACGCATTTACGGGTTGTTTCTACCACATTGAACCTTCTTCATGGGGTCTCCAATCACAAAGGTTGGGTTACTCCCGGAGGTGACTCCCTTACAGGCTTATGCCCATCCCCCTCGATGATTTTTTTATATCCTTATAGGATAAATCCTTAATAGATCAATGATCATTTCTTTCGAAATTTTAATTTGATCAATGAGTTGTACACCCTTATAGAGCAGTTCTTTAACAAATGTTTCAAACGTTACGGTTGAGAGAATATCATATTTCTCTTCAACTGATACTAAATACTTTGAGATTTTTCTGCAGGTGTGAAACTCAATTTCTTGTTTGAAGATCAATGATAAAATATTTAATTTTCTCAGACATGAATTTATATGATCAAGTTTTTCATTTTGATAAACACCCCCACATTTCAAGAGAATTTAGGCATGAAATAATATTTTTAACAACAATCGCATAGAGCTTTTAATTTCAATTAAATGAAATTAGCTATCTAAGCAAATTCACAAAAGATAGAAGGAGTTTTAGATATAACATGAAATATATACTCATTTTAAATCACGTTATCTTTAATTAGGAGAAATACTCATTGAAATAATTTTTAATGAATAAATTCTCAAATTTGTCTTTGGGGTATTTTATTGAAAAATGTTTGGCAAAAGATAAAGAGATACCTCAAAATATTAACTAAAAGTCATAGTCAATTAATTAGCTTTCAAAGTCACCATTTAATGTCTAAGGATAATTAACCTTTGATTTAATTTACTAGGAAAACATATCTCTATCTATATCACTTTTTTTTCATCAAAATAAGCTGCACACTTATTGCAAACTCAATATTTCACTTTTAAAATATGAACGGGTTATGAGATTCATTTCCAATCTAAACAATGTGAAAATAGTTGAGCTACTGTCACCAAATGATTTTCACGTAGAGGCACTCTAGATTCAAACTATAGTCCGAATCAGACATAGTTCCAAGGAATATCAAAATTTCACATACATAAATTCATGCATGCAATAATATTTAGAATACATGAGGTGTTAAACTCCGTTTGAAAGTTCTCCAACGAGTCACAAATTTATTTTTATTTATAAACAATAATGCAGACAGATATCCAAAACAAATTCATGAGTGGAAATGGAATAATTAAAGAAGAGAGTGAAAAAATATTTTAACACCATTTTAGTAACTACACATGTCATAAAAGAAATAATAACTAATTAATTATATATAATGGCCAGACTAACGAATTTTATCAAAGCACTTCAAGTTGTCAATTTTCTAAGGGGCAAATAAATAATAATATTTCAGTTTCTTTTCAACAATGAAAGACATGTAAAAAGTCACTCTACCATCTCTAATTCATTCTAATGCCAACTTAATAAGTAGATAATGAATAATATTTATATTTTAGACATTTCAAAAGCATAATTATCTCTTTTAAAATGTTACTAAAGATATAGCATATCTCATGGCTCAATATAAGAGGTCTATTTCATTTCAACTTTTTTTTTTATATTTATTTGATTAATTGTCAAATAGTAGACACATACCTTTTGATGACTTGAAATCTCCACTGCTACATGAATTTACACTTGTTTTTCTTTGTGTATCCATAAACTTCTCAACGAGTGTGGCTTCCTTATAATGCAATCACAATCGATGGTCTATAGAGATACATGCTCCACCAAAATTAAAGAATGTTAGTTAATTTTTTAGTAGACAAAAGTTTTCACGTTAATAATACACATGATATGACATATGGGATATAGGGTTTTCAAATTATTCATTCCATTAAAATGACAATACTAGGTAATTACAAAACTAATAATCAATGATTTAAATATAAAGGCTATACAATTCATGAGTGAATTAGAAGGCAATAAGATTTTGCATCTGATGCATAGACTTAGGATAACCTATTTTGATATATTAGACTATGATGAGTACTAATTAACCGTAAGAAGCTTTAACGTTGAAAAAATGAATTGAATTCTAATTTTATCATGTGCCACATAATATTTCTTTTCGGTTACATAATAAATGCAATTAAATATTTAAATAAATATAAATTAAAGATCATGAATTATCAAGCTTCCAATTATATATGCAATACATACGATAATATATATCTAAATATATAGTTGATTGTGATTTTGATAACTACAAATATCTACTACAAAATTCCCACTAATTATAAAATATAAATCATATATAAATAAATTTAGTTATGATGATGAATAAGTTAATGAAACGTCCAGACAAACTATATATAACACATAAATTACAAATAAGCTATTCATGTTCAAATGCAGAAACAGAAAGGAGAATTTTCATTTCTATATTCAATTGTTCTCCAATCCTTAAAGTTATAACTATGTAATTAACGAGTTTGGGCATTAATCTGACTATCAAATAAATGAATTTATCACAATGCACAAATATATGTAAGATTAACAGATCGACCAAAATAGATTAAACAAGAACCTGATTTGTGTCACCATAAAATAATATATTTTGTATTGCGTCACCATAAAATGATATATTTTGTTGTAACATATGCATGTTATAATAATGATTGATAATTAATCAACTTTAGATGAGATTCGTACAAACCTTTTGTACCATAATTATAGTTATCAATTAACAATATGCTAGAAACAATACCCACCTTTTTATAAGTAAATAATCATTCTCTTAGATTGTTGTGAATATTTTAGAAAATACAATTTTATATTAAACAATTAAGAACATGCAATATATATAAATAAAATAATCATATAGGAATAGAAAATAGATTAAAGTAAAAGTAATAGAACGGCTGACCTGAATAGGAGTCGTGCCACTAGACACTGTCCTAAGAGAATGATTGCCTCCCTTCGTGCAGGTATTGACGGCTGATCATACTCCCAAGATAAAACCCAATGGCCTCGCCGGTGCTTCGTCTATGAGCAACGATCATAGGAAGCTAAAGAACGAACCTTATCTAAGTGCCCAAGGTTTATAGAAAAATATAGAAGATGATGCATGCTTTGTGTGAGTGTGTATGTGTAGTGTTATAT